TCACAAACTACAGCAAATTAAATATTTTGGGGGGGGGATATTCCAAATAACTTGTTAAAGTATTAGAACCATCATGCAAACAAGCCTGTTTGTTGTTTACAGCTGTTACCTACTTTTCCTAACTTCATTTTCAGTCACCGTTAAAGCCTTGATGCATGAAAGCAGCTAAAATATTGGCTTATATATCTAAGTGTCGTAGTATAACCAAATCAAAATACTCAACAAAATCTGTATTTGGTAGTTTGGGGTGGTTTTCTCAAATATTCATTTTTGTCAGACAGCCTTTATCCATATAGGGCAGTGTTGAATCTTCTGGAAGATGCCTAATTAGCTTTGGAGATGGGGGAATGGGGGAGATGTGTTCTGTTGGGCCACCTGGAAGTGTCTTGGAGGGATCATGGGTCCATAAATGCCCCAGAGCTGACAAGCCGGCTACAAACAGCAGTAGCCACTCTTTGCAGTAAAAAACAACCATATCCACTGTTTGTTTTCATCTTTCCGCTATATGCCGTATCAGTGTGGCCCTACTTGTGGGTAGAAGGTATAAATTCCACACAGCCTGCGTATAATAACATATGCCTGTGGTAAAAATCAATATTGTAGAATGTGCAGCATACAGTATCTTTCATGTAGAAAAAACTTCAAAGAAGGCATCAAAGGGCAAAAGGGCAAGTTAGATTCAAGGTGATAAGAGTATCTTAAAGATCAGAAAGCAAAAGCCATATAGTAACCCAGTCAATTTTGGCATGAGACACACTTCTTGCTGTCTTAGACTGATCACTTACACACTATTTATGGCCTGGGGAATGCTGTGGGTAAAGGAGTTCTCTATGGTTTGGTTTCAGTTGTATGATTTACCCATTGCCTTCCATGGGAGGCAATGGGGACCTACACTGCCCTTGGGATTTACATCATGGTCTGTGTAGTCCTGCAGCCATTACAAGTGGTGGAAAATAATCACTGCCTCATGGCTGGCTAGTATCATGTGACAAATGGTCTTAGTCCAATCTGTAATGGAAGGAGTTGCCACCTGTGCAAGAAACCCTGCAATGACAATTAATCTGTGATGATTGTATCACCTCATGCAACAGTTCTAACCGATCACTTGAACCCAAGTGTCCTTCCTTCACTGGTACCATACCATGGTGGGGACTGGTCAACAAAGATGATGTTGATAGTTGTGGCCAGTTTTGAAATAAGACTCTGACATTTTTCAGAATGTGTTTTGTGGATAGCGTAGGGAAGCACACAGACCTGAGGCCTTTGCTTCACTCTGCTGTGTAGAAATGTGAGAAGAACTGTGGTTACACCACCTGCTGGTGTGAGCAACTCTGCTGCAGGCTTCTATGGTTTTATTGCAGACTGACTTCATAAGATTATTTATCTTAAAAATCATTGAAGCTGGATAATGATGGGAGAGTTGTCATAAAATAGTTTTAATCTTTCAGAGAATGTAAAGAAAAACTTGAAAAAATGAACTGTATGAACAGTAAAGACTCAGGAATAAATACCATCTACAGAATATATTTTAGTAAAACAGATACCATGGTATTTTGTTTAGACCAAATAGATTAACAGTAATGCACTCATCCTAAGCCCCATACACATTCCAAATACTGAGAAATAAAATAGGGATAATTTCTGAAATGGTAATAGCAGCTTTATGGTCTGTCTGAGAATATCTGGTGGTCATCAGTGCATCTCCATAACAACGGGCTTCAAAACACAGGTTTCTATTAATCTGCCTGTGGAAAAGAGGTTTGATTCTTTACTCCTTTCCTAGAGCAGATGGTATGGTTTTGTTCCACAGTACCCCTTCTCTCTAATGTTCAAGTCCATTGACTTTATAAGCTAGGTTACAGTACTTTAGTAAACAATTATCTGTTTCTGTTCTTCACATTCAAATCCACAAATCAGTTTTTATTTTGAAGTGTCATACCTAGTTTATCACCTAAGAATGATGCAATGACAGCTGATTAGAACTCCAAACCTTGAAATCTGTGTTTTGATAGGAAAATGAAACTCATAAGAAATAATTTCACATTTGTTTGCAGAAAAAACAGGTTGATCTTAGCAAATTTAGCAAATAAAAATCAGGTGCTGGGTAAAACTTGATTGTATTCCACCGTCTTGTGTACTCTCCTGTCATGGAAGAAAGCATATGTGGAGCACCACTGCACAGCTAAAGCCACCTGGGAAAGGGATACGTCATTGTATGAGTGAGGCAAACCTTCCCTGATGGAAACACCTAACACTGGGAGAAGCTGGGCGTGTGATCAGTAATGTTGGTAGTCGTCTTCCAACAGGTCATCGCTACAGCAGACCTGCCCCACTGAGAGCACAAAAGCTTAATTCCCAGATTGTGTGAAGATCTCTCATACACAGATTGGAAGGTGCAAATGAGTGTTGCTTGAGGACATGTTAATTTAAAAAGAATAAACATAGTAGTAACTCCTAGGAGGACATATTGCCATTGGTAACTTTTTTAATACCACTTTCTCCTTCCTACTTTAGTGCACATGCTGTGGGTTGCATGCATGTCATTCTCTACTGTAAATGAGATGCAGATGAATAGAGGAGATCATGTCTCCTCTAGTGTGTCTGGAGGTTGGATGAGCTGAAAATGACTGCATGAAAAGTAGCCCTTTTTTTTAGCATAGCACTAAATTATTTTTTGGAGCTTTTATTTCTAGCTCCCCTCTTTTGTCCATAGCATAGGTCACTGGAGCAGAGTTGTGTTGCCAGAACTTGACCATCAGTTTCCACAACCTGCAAATCCATGACAAAGTGCAGCAATGGAAGGATCAGGATGAGAAAAAAGAGGAAATCTATTCTTTTGGTTTCCCATTTTATTATAAAACAAAGTATTTGTCATAGAGAGCAATGCAGCGCATTATACAATAGAATCACATTTGTTGTTTGGCATCAGTTTCAGAGATTTTGGGCTAATTGGGCTCTAACATGAACAATTTAACAGTATCCGTCAGGTAAGAATTTCAGCAGCAGCAGAGAAATTGCCTCAGCTTTGCCTCTAATGTGGTGACAGAATATTAAAAAACAGACTAAAAATCTCACAGATGCGTCACTTCTAGAGCACATGACTCTTAGAGGTATTACCTGGGTCTTGCACTGCTTCCATTCTGAAGAGATGCAAAGACTAGCAAGTTTAAAAACACAAATTACTAAAACAATGAAATGGTACAGTCGTCATGGGTTCATGATTTAGCCCAGTAATCTGTTTCATTTCAAAATAAATTGGAAGAAAGCAGAGAATTAGTTATAACCCAAACCTTGGATTTCGATTTTTCCTAGACATGCTTAGTTTGAGATTTTCCCCACAATGAAATGCACGTGAGAGTTTGTGGGATGAAAACATGCCATGTTGAACTGTCCAAGATCACCAAGAAGCCTTGAAATAGGCCAGAAACTAAATTCCTTCGATTACAGGCCAGTTCCTATGCCATCTCTTGGTGAAACATCAGAGTTGCCATAACCCTGTTTGCCAACGTTACAACCCAACGTTGTTTTCAAAATTTGTTGCCTTCAAAATTTCTGTTGAAATCAAGAGGGACAAGAGCTGTGGACAAACACTGCTAATAGGATACAGCTCATATTCATAATGCTTAATCTAATAGAAATCCATGTTAGAGCTAGTTCTGCCACAGCATTTTACAAGTTAAGCCAAGTATGACTTGAGAGAAGTATCAGAAACCTAGTTCTGCCATTTCTGGTGGTCAGGGTTATGTTACTGGTTTTCGCCGTGGGCATATTCTTTGTAGATCACTTATCCCAAATTTGTAATCTCACTTCAGGAGGGATTTGACCTTTGTCTTTATACAGCAAGTGATTCTGACCCAAACTGGAGCTTATGAGCTTACTAGTAATAAGTAGAATTATAATAATTTACTTAGTAGTAACTAATTAAATAATAAGTAGTAACACAGAAGAAATACTTGAATACTTGTCCAAAAAGCAAAGAAATTTCTTTAGAAAAAATAAACATTTTGAAACCCTATGCAGAGATCATCTTAAACAAGTTAAAGAGGACTTATTTTCTCTAGAAAGTAAAGTCTTTGAATTATTAACAGATTTTAACTGTTTACATCTCAGTTGCCATTCTTACCAAAAGTCTGAAAGGTTTTTTACTTGATTTTTGATGTGATTTAAATTAAACTTCAGTTTCCAGTCCATCAGGTTACCTCTGAAACGCCATGCCAGGAACTTAAAAGTTTAAGTTTAACTTTTGAACCACAACACTTTATACCCATGGAAAAAATATCCCAGGGACCACGCAGTTTGTTCTAGATTCATACATAGTTACCAGAATTGTAGTATTACTTAATTTTGACTGCAGGCTTGAAATGCATTTGATTTATAATTAGTGGTCATTTAAGGTTGACTTTGTATTAATAATAAAATTATGGAGCCGTACTCCATTCCATCTTCGAGTGCAGTAGCTACTATTGTAACTCGTAGCAACGACTCAAGTTCTGTGATAAGAACTGTTCTTACCAGGAATGTAAGGTGGTCAACAACTGGCCACAAACATCATGGGATTTACAAAAGTTTCTGGCGATAATTGATTGTTGGATTTTGGTGGGTAATTGAGGGGAGAAGCTCTGCAGACTTCACTTGCACATGAAGGTTTATGGTTTTATAGTAAAAGTTTGTTTCAGCTTTTCTGTACCTATTTTTGAAAAAGGTATGGAGAAGTATGACCTTGGATCATTATTTAGTAGTGCTTTAAAAGAAAAAACTTTTCTTTTTTTTTTTTTTATTCTACTGAAGTAGAATAGGAAGTGAAATGAAATCTAGTGATATATAAATATTCTCGTTAAACATTGCAGTATCTGTGTTGGAGTGCCCAGGATGTTAATCATCATAGTCTGTTTTTATAGGATTTTCACAGAGTAACAGTTGTAATCAAACACGATAAGCAGAAATTGTCAGCCTTTTCTCAAATACAGATGTATAACAGATTAATATATTTGTTTTCACAGACTTCCTTATATCATCACTATTCAACAGACAAAGGCCTGGACAGGCCCTCTAGGTAAGAAATATAATATATTATTTCAGTAGACGCGGATTGTACAGCATGAGAGTTTTCTTTGTGACCTTAAGCCAGCAGACATTGCAGAGAGTCAGATTTTAACATTCACCTTGTGAGCTACTGACAAAATGGAGAGATGTGTGGAGAGGGTATTCATATTTTGTTGCTGAAGTGCAATTCTTTCTTTTGTTTTACAAGGACTTAGTGTTTATATTCAGAATAAGCCATGCTTCATTCTGGGTCTTTCCGCTGATGTCCCTGAGCTTCTGTCTCAGCTACAGCGATCTATCATTTAACATCGCTGCCTGCAGCACTTTGGGTGCTGTTTCCCTAAGCATGCTACCTCATCTGTTCTTAGTCTCTTTTTTCTATCTTTGCACTCAACTTCTAGTAGTAAAGGCAACTCACCACTCAAATTTTTTCTCTGTAGCTGCCTTTTTATTTTTTGTAACGCCTACTTACATAGTTACTACCTACTCATAAAGAGTAACTTCTATAATAACCTATTCAGCATCCTGAAGAACCAGATTGTTTTCACTTGCCCATGTGGGTCCCAGTGTGTACACGCATCTCAGTAGCCATATCTTCTTCTGACCTTTCACAAGGATTGTCTTTAATGTTTATGATCTTAATTTACATTATGACTACTCTCTCCTGCCTACATCATACCTCACACAAGCTGTGTTGCCAGCAAAAGACAAGATTCATCACACTTTCCAGGCAGAGCCTAGTGCTGTTTCAATACTAAGACTGGTGGGCTTCTCCATAGCAGGTTGAAGTACCAGGAGGATGGGAGAGTGCCAGCCCATGGTAAAACAGGAAAGACCAAATGCCAAAAAGAGTAGAAGTATGGAAAAACCTGAATAAAGAGGCTTTTCAATCAACAATTTATTTTTTAAATACAATATGTTATTGCTACTTTAGCAAAATGGATATGGAAACAATTTAAAACTATTTAATCTGTTGTTTGTATTTTTAGAGTATTTTAAAAAAATGCTCTAAAAAAAAAAAACTTGATGAACTTACTTCAAAGCGTTCACTGTGAAAATGACATTAGCAATTTTGTATAAAACCAAAAAACAGTCAAGTGAAGAAGAAATTCAACTTTTCCCTGTAAAATATGCTGTAAGTTGTCTGAGACCAGTGCTTCTCCCCTTTGCATGTTTTTGATATATTTGTTCTGGCATTGTTCAATCTATAAACCCATTATATAATTATGAGCTTACTGCTTAAATTCCTGAATTCTGATCTCAGAATTAGACTGCTGGTAATGCTGCTTATTTCTGTAGTTCTGCAAGTACTGCGAGTGACTACAGAAAGAGAAGGAAGTCGGAACCTGCTGTAAGCCATCAGAGGGTGCACAGTGATCAGAACGCAAACAGACCGAGCCTGGGCCGTGCAGATGTGCAAGGCCCACATACCACCCTTAGAAAGCCTTTAACTAGCTCGTCTCCTTCTTCTCCATCAAGAGCAAAAGGTAAGATGAGAGCGTATTTGTTCGCAGAAAACTACTGGCGATGTGTTGTACGGTATGTTGGTAGTAAACGCAACTGCTGTTGCTCAGTGCGCTTCACTGGGACATTTACTATATGGGCTTTGGGCCTTTCATGAGAGGCTAACTTGTTTATTCTTACTTTTGTAATTTGAAGCTGCAAAGCTGGATTTGTAACAAGGATTTTCCAGTTTCAACTGCTTATTCTAACAAAAGAAAATCGACTAAATGAAGACTAGGATTTGTACCACATTATAAAAACCCATAAAGTTGTGATTTTAATTCATAAGGAAATCTTTTTGATGTTCAAATTATCATAAGTACATTTTTACAGCTGGAAAATAACTTAACTCTGCTGCCCCAAGCCGTAGCAACCTACGTATTGACCTAAGTTGATAGATGCATTAATTGCTACTTCTTTTCTAGTCTTTCTAATACTTACTGATGTTAATTCCGACTTTCTGAATCTTTTAATTTCTGGCAATGTCTCTTTTTTACCATGCTGCTCTATGGATTATAAAGGTGGGGATATTAGCAAAGTATATCCATCCCTTTTAAGTTATTCAGTGCACAACCACAACACCTCTAATGAATTAGATTACTGTAGCACTTACAGACAACATTTAGCGGTTCCAAACGATTCAAGGAGGGCCATCAGCTACAAGAATGGCTGGCAAATGACTCGTCAAAATGCAGAAGTCTGGAGCAGCACAGAAGAAACTACTTCTCCAAAAAGAAAATCTCGTAGCTGTGATGATTTGTTAACAGATGATCGCGATAGCTTTCCCGATGCACAGGCCAAGTCTGAAAGCATGGGCTCTCTGTTATGTGAGGAGGACTCCAAAGAAGTTTGCTCAATGAACTGGGCCTCCCCATATGCTGAGGGCCGTGGTAATAGTAGATCAAGAGTTCGTCACAGATCCGCACACGATGCCCCGGGTTTCCTAAAAATGTACAAAAAGATGCACCGCATCAATCGCAAGGACTTGATGAATTCTGAGGTGATTTGCTCCGTGAAGTCCAGAATCCTGCAGTATGAAAAAGAACAGCACAAAGCTATTCTTCAAGGCTGGAGAGAGTCTTCTACTGAAGAGGTGCCCAGAGACATGGTGCCAACCAGAATATCTGAATTTGAAAAGTTAATTCAGAAGTCAAAATCAATGCCGAACCTAGGTGATGAAATGTTGTCAACTGTTACACTAGAGCCTCCTAACAATGGCTTATGTCCAAAGAGGCGATTTTCTATTGAATCCTTGCTGGAAGAAGAAAATCAAGGCAGACATCCCTCTCAGGTACAACGAAGTTACAAATCTAAAACCCTGGTGCCAATTCATATTGAAGTGACCAGTGATGAGCCACAACGATCACATATGGATTTTTCAGACAGTGATCAAGATGGAGTGGTTTCTGACCTCAGTGACTTTATCCAGATAGAGGGTTCATCCTTTTGTAGTGAAAGTGACTTTGACCACTTTTCCTTTACATCATCAGAAAGCTTTTATGGATCAGGCCATCACCACCACCACCACCACCACCACCACAGGCATCTCATCAGCTCCTGCAAAGGACGATGCCCAGCATCCTACACCCGCTTCACAACCATGCTAAAACATGAAAGGGCTAAACATGAAACCACTGAAGATCCAAGGAGACAGGAAGCAGAGTCTGGCCTCTCTAAGTTAGCATTCCTAGTCAGTCCCGTGCCTTTCCGGAGGAAAAAAAGTGCAGCTCCTAAAAAACAAACTGAAAAGAAAAAATGCAAGTCATCTGTATTTGAAGCACTCGATTCTGCACTTAAAGACATCTGTGACCAAATTAAAGCTGAAAAAAGAAGGGGAAGCTTGCCCGACAACAGTATATTACATAGACTTATTACTGAGCTGCTTCCAGACATTCCAGAAAGGAATTCATCTCTCAAAGCTCTGAAGAAGAGTCCCATGCACCAGCCTTTTCATCCACTGCCTCAAGATGGTGCTATCCATTGCCCACTGTACCAGAATGATTGTGGAAGGTTACCTCTTAGTGCCTCTTTTCCAGACATGGACGCAACTAACAACAATGATAGTGCACTGTGTTTCCAAGGTGGATTAACTTTCTTCCTCTATACTTGTGATTTACTTATTTAACCTTACTCCCTGTATTTCCCACCCTTTCTCATTCCATTTTTATTTGTGTCATCTGTATGAAGCTTTCATCCCACAAAATTCTTAAAGAAGGATGTCATTTCTACATAGATGATGAGGATAGATAAATTTGCTGTCTGTTCACAAAACACGGTAATCTGGACAACTGGAGTAACAGTGTATTTCAACTAATAGAGTATTAGCGCTGTAAATTACAGTGGTGTTATTAAATTAAGCAAGGTGGGCCTTCTCCCAAGAAAAGGCCTTACAGGAGGTGAATACATGCATCATAAGATGCTGGTCAAACACAAAACAATGTGCAGATGACCCTTCCTTCATTATTTAAAAAAAAAAAATAATAATGTGCATCTAACCCATGTTGTACTGTATAGATTTTTTACGTGCAAGTGATAAAAATGCTGTTAATTCTTCCAGTATCTTAGAAAGTTGATTCTGTTTTCTTATGAAAACACACTAATTCTGCTGCTTTATATTACTTTTTGTGAATAGACCCTAAAGTCATTTTAGGACTTTTCCATTTCCACTGTTCAAACAATACAATTTCCAATTTCTGTGGCAGCAGAACTAGTTGTTCTCACAGAATTTTAATTTATCTTTGAAGGCAAATTCTACTAATCAAAACTTGAATGAAATTGTTAGGTGAGTGTAACTTTTTTAAAAGTCTGTCTTGACAGTGATCTGGTTTCAAAGTTACTGCTTTGAGTTGTTCATTGCTCTGCTTCTCTTTTTCTCAAAAAAAAATGCTTGAGCTTAGAATGTTTTTAAAGTTTAACCTTGCAATATAAAAAGACACAAGTTAGATTCATAGCAGGAGTGCACAAAGGTGTATCCCAGATGATTAAGCTTAATGTCTATTTATTTCTCTTTTAAAATGATAACATTTCCATGTTAAAGAATTCTGCTTCTAGACATACAGTCCTCTGTGACAGAGCATCTTTGAGAATTTCATGACATTACAAAGTTATTCTTGACATCACAAATGGATGTAAGAGAGAATGTATCAGTTATGCACTATATGATTTTACTTATCTTTAATCTCTCATCTTTTTCTGTAACTTTTGCAAGTATCACACTAGTAAAGATGTATTTCAAGAAAAATCAGAATTGAAGCGTTACCATCTCTTCTTAACTAGTTGAAATAGACATATTGAGAACAGAAAATTTGGTAAAAAAAACAGCTGTAAAACGCAGTTCAAAATTGAATTAGTCATACTTGAATCATAGAATCATAGAATGGTTTGGGTTGGAAAGGACCTCAAAGATAATCTAGTTCCAACCCCTCTGCCATGGGCAGGGAAACCCTCCACTACACCAGGTTGCCCAAAGCCTCATCCAACCTGGCCTTGAACACTTCCAGGGATGGGGCAGACACAACTTCTCTGGGCAACCTGTTCCAGTGCCTCACCACCCTCTGAGTGAAAAATTTCTTCCTTATATCTAATCTAAATCTGCCCTCTTTCAGTTTGAATCCATTGCCCCTTGTCCTATCACTATATGCCCTTGTAAAAAGTCCCTCTCCAGCTTTCCTGTAGGCCCCCTTTAAGTACTGGAAGGCTGCTATAAGATCAGCCTGGAGCCTTCTCTTCTGCAGGCTGAACAGCCCCAACTCTTTCAGCCTGTCTTCATAGCAGAGGTGCTCCAGCCCTCGGATCATCTTCGTGGCCCTCCTCTGGACCCGCTCCTTGAGGCCTGATCATGATTGACTCTGCCAGACAGTACGATACAATGAGACTAAAGTTGTTGGAAATTGCGCTGGTCACATATCACAGTTGCTAAATGAGAATTTTCCAGTCCTTGAAAATAAGGAAATCCACAGTGCAGATTAAACGTGGATTTCTAACAGCTTCTACAGCTATGGGCCTGGCATAAGGAAAGTGATACGCTCTGTCACTGTTGATATCCCTAAAGTAGCATAGAGTACAGCAGAATATTCCATAGACTCTACTTGCAATGAAGTTTTATGCTTTATTGGATCTATGTGTCTCTCACAGCCACTATCCACACAGAAACCCTAAAGCCATAGCAAAACCTATGCTTTTTGCATAGTTTATGCTAAACATAGCAAAAAAAACGTGGCATTTCAGTTTTTTCAAAACTGAAAACTACCAATATTGACTGCATAAGGAGCTATATAGAAGTAGAGGAGATTGTTCTTCTAAAGTTGTTGCATTTTCACTCCTTCCCTACCATGTCCTTCTATGGGCTTGGTAAGAACAGATTGTGTGAATAAGTCAAAGGAAGACAAACATCAGTTATATGTCTCTACTAGCACATATCACTGTGGCGATAGGAGACTGAAATAGTAAATCTCAGAAGTCAAGAGGCAGTTCATTTCATCCTCTGGTCTGAAATAATTTTGTTATATTTTCATTTCATATTGGTAACTTGCTGAGCTATAAATAGTGTAAGATTTTGATTTTATTTTTATTAAAACATGAAAAGATGTATTCACCATCCTGTAATAAACATTGGTAAACTGTGCTTTAGAGAAAATCTGCCACATAGATTGGTGAGTAATGATTTGTACTTCATCTCTTAGAGTTGTTTTTATGAAATAACATCCTTTAAAATTCCCTTGTGCTGCCTAACATGTGCCCCTGGTAAAGTAGAAATGCATCTTAGATCACTTAGGAGGAAACATTTTTTCTTCCCTATTTTCTCATTGGAGCATGCTTTAGCCATGTTTTGTGCACGTAATTATGTGTTTATATTGTTGACATTCCAAAACAGTTTCTTGCAACCTGATGAAGTCCCAGTACTCCTGTCATGCCTCCCATTTGGTCTAGCAGGGTGCATCCCTTCGTACAGTGAGGCATAATTTTCCTCTCTCGATCCGGTATCATATTTTCACCTGCTGTGGATCAGAGGACAGCCTTTGCCTTTGCTCGAGTCAGTGTCTTTTTTTTTTTTTTTCTTGTAAAGGTGCACTTTAGCCATCATATCATGTGCTTTTCTTTCTATCAAAAGTAAAATAATACATTCCAATATCTCTTCACCTGCCCAAATGAAACCAAGCAGCATCACAGATTTTGTTTAATTTACTATAGTTTCACATAATTTCTATTTTCAGTAGACCAGGAGTCTCCTGGAAACTATTCTTCTGCTTTCACTGATGTGGGACGATGTACTCCAAGGGAGAGAAGAGGAACTACAGACAAAGAGGTAGTTAAACAACAATAAATAACGCAACAATATCTGTATGAAAAATTGGTAACAAATCTGAGACAAGATTTGTGTTGGTTTTAAGACACAGTAATGATACAGACCAAAGGAACGGTTACTTATCATCATATCATCAGATGGGACAGCATCCTCCTTTTCCGTTAAGGAGATTGATACTTCAAGAAATTAAAAGAATATCAAGCTTTGTAAGATAAGCTGCATCTTCTATTTATGTTTAAATAGATATAGATATAAGTTTATTAGTCATTGATAGGGTCTGTCAAAGTTGACTGGAGTGGATGTTTGGGACAGAGAAAAATATCAGATATGACTGGGGAAAGGCTCCTTTGAGAAGCAGAGCATTACACAAAGAAACTGCCTCAGTAGTTTCAAAACTGATACAAAGAACATCTGTATTTCACCATTATTTTTGTTTAGGAAAAGCAAAATCACTGCTGTTAGTGTGTTAGACAAAACCATTTATGCTAAGAGCAATCTCTAATTTTTGTAGCAGTTGATGATTGTAATTATATACTGATTGCTTGTATTAATGCTTTGAAAGAGGAAATGGAAGCAGGCATACACCTTTAAAGTAACACAAGTATCACTGAAAAGAAACACTTCAGTATCTTAAGAATATTTCTAGATCTAGAACTATAAATGCTCTCCAAGCATGCTTCAGAGATTTTATTCAATCATAAAGTAAGTACATTTATGTTAACCAACATCTACAGACCATAGATTGTTAATATTTTCTGTTTATTTTTATTTAAATATTGCACCAAGTAATGGCAGCATCAGAGTTCTGTATTTTAATTGCTAATGTTTAAGTTTTTGTTCTGGGCCATATACCTTGTTAAATGATGGTAGAGGTTAGAGCTCGTTACGGGATCTGAATTCAGATCCGCTTACACCCCACTGACATGCTTATATTACTGCAATCTGATTAAGAGTCTGATTTTAAAAAAAAAGACTATTAATTACAAAATAAAGGTTTAAAAAGTTCCAGGAGCCATATTGTTGTTCCTTTTAAAGAATTCTGTGACATTAAAAATCATCTTTCAATTTGAAAATACGTAAAATACTTATACTACAAGCCATTCTTATGATTGCTGTAGTTTAAAAAGATGAAAGAAGAAAGGCTTCTCTATTTCCTGTATGGTTTGTACATTTCAAAGTATTTTGCATTTAATCAGCTCCACTGTTCTTTTAATATTATCCCCCTTCTTCCATATTTGCTTTAGTAGTTGCGGCAACAGCTATACCAAAATCAGGCAAGAGTGAAAAGGGCTCAGAAACAGTTGATGATATTAATATCCCCTCCCATCTAAAAGACTATTTTTGACAACAGCAGAGAACAGAAAACTGCTTTTAAATTTAGGCTCTCTTATTTGAAGGAGACCTGTAATGGAAAATTGTATCAGTATAACAAAATGCAAGTTGACAGGATCCCTGTAATAACTTCGGAGACTTTTTTTATTATAGCAAAGAGAGTGCTCTAGGTATGCTAAATTTGCTAGCCTTTAGATGACAAGAAGAGAGAGAACCCAGTTGAGAACATCTAGCCTGGAAGAAAGGTAAAATGCAAAACTTGCGCGCATCCTTTTTTATTCCTCTTAGTAAAAGATGTGTACCCTTACATCATTACAAATAGCATCTCTCAGAGCGTAATCAGCTCATTCTAATCACTACTATATACTAGAGAGATATTTTTTTTCAAATGTAGCAATCTCACCTGCACAAGCATTTGCAGAGAAGGATTGAATCACTTCACCGAATATCTTTGTGTAATACTGCTAATCACTTCTCGCACCTTCCTCTGAAGTATCTAGCACCTATCCATCAGAGGCAGACACTAGATGAGAGAGGCTCTTGGGCCGGATCACAGTTCGTGTTTTCAGCACAGCTTTGAAAACAGTGAAAGTGTAGGTGTCAAGCACACAGGCGAGGAGAGGTAGGGACGTTTTACAGTTTTATTTTTGAAATAATCTTGAGCTTACAGATTCTTGGCGATAGAACTTGATAAATGTATGAAAGGAATGATATGATGTGGTTGCCTGTGATAGCAAGAGAGCTGCACAGGTGACTCAGGAGATCGCTTCCAGTCCTGCGTTTCTCAGACTTTCTTAAAACTTTAAACGTGATTATAGAAATTTAAATTATCCCCAACCTTTTCCAGCTGTCAAATAATTTTTCCTTTATATATCTATATATACATATTTTTTTTAAAAAAAAGTGATACAGTATTTGCAGTTGAAATTAGCCTAAAGATAACAAGTTTAACAGAAGAGTCATCTAAAGTATTAGAGAATAGTAAGCATGCGAATTTCCATTGTACCTTGCGATCTTCTTGCCTACAAGTCGCATTGGCATTTGGTGATTTTTTTTTTTTTACTTTTGTAGTTCTATTGAACATAAAATTTCAAAGCAGTCTGTATTAAAATTTAGCTGCTATTTCTATTTTTAAAATACTTAAGTCCTAAACACCTTACTGCTTTAAAAAAGGAAGCCTTGTGTTTAATTGCCTAGTACAAGAACAACTGTAGGCACGCATCATTTTCTTTTTGGTTTGTGGTCACCTTTTTAAAAGCTGAAACGTTTCCTATATGGTAATACTACTTGAATGTATTAATCACTTTGCCTGCTTTTCAGAAACTGCCAGCTAGAGCTGTATATGACTTTAAAGCTCAGACTTCTAAGTAAGTACTAGACTTTTGTTCATTTAAGAATTCATAATTCGAGAGAAACCTTTCTTTCTAGCACTTGCAGCAGCTTACTGCTGTTCTGGCCAGTTTCCAAGGCAAATGCCATGGAAGCAGAGGATCCTGCTTGCTGTCACAGTAGTCTTTGCATTAGCAAACTGTGTGAGAAGTTATTTTGTAATAAAAATGTCTTCATTTATTATACTCTCCATTGTATTTGTTTGAACACATGAATGGCTGCGCATCTTCAGCCTTCTAGAGCATGGCTTCTGAGGGTCACCCACTGAATGCACTTTGTCTGTTGTGAATTGTATTTAGGTTACACAAGGTACGGTGCTTAAAATGCTGTCTTAGTGTAATTATCAAAATTCTGTATGGTGCTTCAGCATCTTCCTATCCATCTTAACGTATATAGGCTCTCTGCAGGATGTGACATGTCCTGTACCAAGACAAACGACCAGTGGTCCATAAGAAAAACAAAATCAGGAAACACTGTTCTAGGATGTGACAGAGTCAAAATAGAGGGCCTTTCCTGCTGTTGTTCTGATGATCCAGGGCATTGAAATGAGTTTTAGATATGGCCAAACATTGCCACTAGAATTACATTACCTGTGTCTGGTAGAAAACTCACAACTTGAATTATCAGAACAGCAGACTAGCTCTTGAAAACCAAATGGATGATATAGCAAAGAACTCCAGGGCTAGGATCTGAAAATGTTCTTAATGATTTGACATTCCTGAGGGATGGGATGGGACCTAGACAAACCCAAGAGGTGGGCCCGTGGGAACCTCATGAAGTTCAACAAGGCCAAGTGCAAGGTCCTGCACATGGGTCAGGGCAACCCCTGGTATAAATACAGGCTGGGCAGAGAATGGATTGAGAGCAGCCCTGCAGAGAAGGACTCGGAG